ACGCCAGCCTATCGTTAGCTTCTCCAATGCTGACGCCAGCCTATCGTTAGCTTCTCCAATGCTGACGCCAGCCTATCGTTAGCTTCTCCAATGCTAATGCAAATAAATAGTCTACTTCTCATTTGCCAGCGCCGGCCTCTGTTACCAGGGCCAGCTGCTCAGTTATCCTCCAGCTACAAGAATGTAGCAACCGCTGGTTGCACAATAGTCTTAATTTTGCCCCTCATACCAAGTCATAAATATACACAAACAATTGGAACCTTTTTACTTGAATTCCATTGAGTCCAAAGAAAGAAGCACCATTAAGTTGTTCCTCCTCCTTCAGAGTCTCCGTACCCTGTGGGCAACCCAATGGTCACAGCTGTTGAAGGAACCAAAGTAACTCTGACCTGCACCGAGACCACAGCCTTCCCCCCCGCCAACACCACCTGGAAAAAAGGGGTCCAGACAGAAAAAACCAGCATCGAACCCGGACCGAAGTACGTCCTGTCCGACCAAGGTCCCGACTACAAACTGACCATCCTCAACGTCAGCAGGGACGACGAAGGCTGCTACTACTGCCACAGCCAGAACCAGCTCGGCTACAAGTACCTGGAAATCTGCCTGACTGTGAAAAGTGAGTTGGTGATGAGAGCAGGGCGGTTATTTGTGCGCTTCTGTAAACTTACAGGATGTAACGTGTCAACAGAAAGTTCTGCAGGGAGACGAGGCATTGCAGGAGTAAACCGAGAGGTGACGATGTAATCTTATGAGCTCGTCGCTCGCAGCAGGTGTTGGCTCCGGGGTTGGAATGCTGACAAACCTGCTGCTCCACCCTGTTCCTCCATTTTTTTACATCCTGTCCTGTTTTCTGTTTGTCCTCAGCATCCTCCTCCGTGTACACCGGAGGGATCATTGGCGTCCTGATTGCTTCTCTAATCGTTGGCTTTGCTGTAATCATAGCAAAAGTCCTTTATTCCAAGAGACACCAAATTTGTTTAGGTAATTTCTAGTTTGACATTTTAAACTATTGCAGAAATTACTTCAATCCAGGTTTAATGACTTTAAAATTCTCCTTTTTTTATTTCAGGAAACGACACTGGGTGAGTACCTCACACTGCATGCTTCTATATAATATACAAATTAAAACAAAGAACCACACTTTAGGTTGCATTGTAGTTCAGAACAAATATTCCACTGTGCAATATTACTAAATAATTTAAAACCATTACCTCTCTGTTGCACAATATTTAGCCTTGAATTGCCTTTCTAATTCCAGGTCTAAATAAGGAACTAACAAACTGCACTTTTCGTGTTCTAATCCTTAAACTGCATGCACAAAAGTACACGTTTTGAGTCTTCAGACTGCTTCCCTCTCTCATTGTTACATTCCAAGATTAAAAAAAAACATCAACGTCACCGTTAGTTATCACTCCCTCCGGCTCTGCAAGGACATATTTTATCGATGGGTGTGGCTCCTTATCTCGTCGTCTCGGGCGTTAATCACCAGAATGTGCGTTTGGGTTGTTACCAAGCCTTACTTTGACAAAAATAAATAAATAATAAAAGTGTTGCTTCTCTGAAAGTTTTTACCATCTCAATAGTTTTATTGGCAATACCAAATAAAAATAGCTGGAAGAATAAGACGGATGTTTCTATGAAATCACATCTTTTGTGCTCAACAGATTTGAAGTGTCCAAAATATCAGTGTGCGTCTTTTTCACACCTGAAATAAAGATTCCATTCTTCACTTTTCAATCTGACAGTTTTTTTTCTTCTTTTAGATGTAAAAAAGAAGAAAAAAATGGACGGAATGCAAACTGGCTGCTGTCTTTAATTGCAAAGTTTTGAGCAAAGATTTCGTGCAATTTTTCAGCACAGAGTAGGGATGTTGACATTTTTCTTCCCAAACTGCTGTGCCTGGGTTTGCGATGCTTCTCTTATTTGCTCGCGCTTCGTTATTTCTACTCATTTCAACAAACCGTGCGGACGTCAGGTAGTTGGCTACAGCCTCGTCTGAGTTTTTAATTTCTGTCGATGCGTTTTGAAGAACCACAGTTGAGAAAAATGATCAAATTCAATCGGGAGTTTTCTAGTGAGCCCTTAAAGAGACAAGCGGACGTGAAGAACATTTTATCTGCCTTTGCTCCAAATTTGACGATTAGAAACGTTGATGTATGGTTTTTTTTTTACGTTAGTAGGTCTGCAACAAACGATCATTTTAATAATTGATTAATCTGTCGATTATTTTTTCGATTATCGGACAAATCATTAAAATGCTTAATTACATGAGTAGATAAAAACTAATTTCATTCCTGTATAACTTAGGAATGCAAGTTATTGATTGATTAATTAATCTAAAGTTGATTTATCTTATAGATTGACTAACAATTAATTGATAAGCAGCCATTTTCTTAAAAAAACGGAGTTTTCTCTTGAATCAAGAGGGTTTTTTCATAACATGAAGGATTTTTTTTATAATCTCCCGAATTAAAAAACAGAAGCACATCACAAATATTTTAACAATTTATTTTGCCAGCTGTATTAAATATGGACTGAAAATGTGTATTTCTCATACATGAAACAACAGAAATTTAATAGGTTGCTGAATGAGGAAAATACATTAAAAGAATAAAATGTGATTTTTAGATGTAAAACTATTATCAATTTTTTTATAATTACAATTTATTTACATTTAACATTTATAGTTTTTCTCTAATCCTTTACTTTTTGCTTCATTCTTGTTGGTTCTGTCTGACTTCGACCCAGTAAATTTTTTTTTTTTAGTCCTTCGTCCGGAACGTTTTTGCTGCTCAACAACGCGGCTCGCATCAGACCGTCTTTTAAAAACATTAAATATACGTTATATACGTTATATCATATCTTCAGTTCTACTTGGCCCAACAACACGATTTAAAAACTGGTTTAAAGTTCGAAATCTCTACTTGTCATTCGAGCGTCAGAGAGGGCAGATCTTTACAGGTAGTTTTTTTTCTTCCTAAACTTTATTTAGGTCAGCCAGCATTGACAACACTGGCGCGAAACAACAAATCGATAATGAAATTAGTTGCCAACGCTTTTAATAATCGATTTTTATCGATTTTATTGATTCGTTGTTGCAACCCTACATGTTAATAAAGTATGTTGACGCTTGTCTTCACGACTTGACATTTCACAGGCTGTCATTGGTTGAGGAGCTTTGTTTACTAAATAAATATCCACGTTTTTTTTAAATAATTTTCATTTCCTGCCTTTCTAAAGGCCCTGTCACACTAATGTTTTAGACAACTTGTGAAATGTTTGGAGACATCTATGTTGAAGACAGAAAAGAAATCATACTGTAATGCTAATAAATTGATCAAATATATAACTTTCATTAGTAATTTAGTGGAAACTTGGTTTTCGTAAGTTGTCTAAAACATCATAGTGTGTCTGGGCCTTAAGAGACATTAAGTTGATTTGATGTTGCACTTTGGTGCCGTAAGCCTTGTAATTTTAATTTATAACTTCTTTCCTACTTTTGGATTGGATTTTATAAAGTTTTTATTGTTTTTAGGATGCAAGACGCTTCTTATAAAAACCAGAATGTGAATCTTTTCCTACAATTTCATGGCGATAACTGTGACATAATATATGAAATGTGTCAGAAATTATGAGCTTGATTTCACTGAAACGTCCATAACTTCCTTCATACTTGAGATAATCACATGATTTTGTTGTTGTTTTTTTAAATTATTATTCTTAATCCGCTGTCAGATTTGAGGTGTAGAATACATTTTTTATCCAGTTAGTGTTTGAGATGACTCTCAGCTACTACACCAAACGTTAGCTCAATATTAAAGGGCCAATATGTGTTTCTCAGGCATATATTTAAATACTATACCGTAATAAAGTAACTATGTCACCTTTTAGCTGTTATTAAAATGATGTTTTTATGTTTAAATAGAAAATAACTTCTCATCACTTCCTCTTCTAAATGCCTTGAAATTGGCCTCTGTCTCTTTAAGAACCACCTTCCGCTTCTGTCCCGTCCATTTCAGTKGGGGGGGGGGGGGCATTATTGTTATAACATTATAAAACGATATAAAACTCAAAAAAGTTGATTTTACATGATATTTCCTCTTTAATAAAACTGACTGAACTGAGTTTACTTGCATGATCACCTGCTTTTCATGGCATGACTACATTTTTTTAATTTGGTGGCACGCACTAACAAAACATATTAAATGTTTGTTAAAAGCATATTTGAAGGTGTTTCATCTATGAAACAATTTAAAGTATATATTTTCCAGTTTTGTGTGTCCTCAGGGCTGGTTTCTGAGCCAAATGTTTGAGTTTTGGTGGAATTTAAAACCTTGATGAGGATCAGAAAGTTTAGAGGATGCAAGAAGTCAGAGGTGCCTCTGAGCGTCACACTAAGGTCTCTGTTCTGCAGGGACGAGGACAGGGAAGATGTCCTCAGTCTGGTGGAGTCGGAGGACGAGCGGATATTTCAGGACGCCGTCCCCCAGCTGCCTCCGGTAGCCAACGGTCGCCACACGACGCTGGTGGAAGTGCACCGGATCCCCTCCTGTACGACGTCATCGTGGTGTTTTCAGCAGATTTAAACACAGAGGTGTTCAGGAATCTAACCAACGGTTTTTCCTTTTTTTTTTTTTTTTTATTCAGGCGATCAAGACGAGACAGAACCTGCTGAACTGAGCCAACAGCAGCCAGAAGACCCTGAAGTGACACAACAGGAGGATCTTGTAACATTTTAGGTATTTTTTTTAGATCAGTGTTTTAGGAAAAAAGGTTTTATCTGACGATAGTGTGAACAGAACTGAATACTGAGTTTTTTTAAAGAAAAAAAAATCAAAACAGCATTGTAAATGTTTGTAAGCTTATTTTTATGATTTTGTACGGACTTTTAAAGAGTTTGTTTTTGGGTGTCCACTTCAAACCTACACGTGGTTCAAATGGTATGAAATACTTTTGACTGTCCCCAGTCCAGGTGTTGACTCTGCACTGAAACTTCAAAATAAAAGTTTGTCAGTCTTTTGTTGTCTGCAGTTTTGTGACAAACTGACTAAATCTGTCTGATTATATGAAGCTAAAAGCAGGAATGTGGATCAAAATAAAAATCAGTGACTTAATGAACGGATTTATTCTGCTACTGTTGTTAAAGTTGATGCCTTCGTGTCAGAATTAAATGTGTTTATATGGAACAAAGTGAAGAATTTAATTCACAGCAGGAGTTATTGATCTTCTTTAAGGGAAACTTTTAAAGTTTAAATCTATTGAGGCTTTAATTAAATTCAACATACTGTATTTTATGTTTTAAATGGGCCAAAGTAAGTCGGAGTATTTAAACAATAATGTAACCAGTGAAAGGAGGGAAACCAGACCAGCTGGAAACGAGCGGTGGGAGCTCAGACATGAATTTATGAAATGCATTAAAAGGCTTGTAGGAAGACTTCAGTTTAAAGTGCCTTTTTCAATTGCTGTTTTATGCCCTTTTATGTTTTGACACATTAAAATCCTTTTAATCTGAATAAACAAAGTGCTAAAGGCCGTAGAAGCTTTTATTGTAAAAACTTTAATTTTTTTTAATAATATGGACATTCAAACATATTTGTACATCTATTTCTATTTAAGAGAGGAATGTTATTCAGGGAAATACAGTTAATCTGATAGGTTAGTTGTTGAATTGCTTTAATATTTGGGGGAATGTTTATTACTTCAGATTTTGGTTATGTGTTTACCCCAGAGATGATGATGTCAGAAACTAAAGATGCAATCCTCCCTGAAAGACTACATTTTTTAAAAACTAAAATCCTGTAAACAGTCTTTAGTTCTTGATGTAAGCTTTTACATGTGGTTTGGCTCCAGTATTCAACTGATTTAATTATTAACCAGGGAGGCAACGATACAGAAAATTAACGATTCGGTTTGATACTTGAGTTGTAAAAGTCCTGTATTTTTTCAATACAAAAAAGAGAAATTTCCATGTCCTTGTAATTAAATTTTATAATGTTTAACCTCAAATGTAGTTTTTAAATTAAATGTTGCTGAAACAGCAAGTTTCTCAGTGGATCTGTGCTCGACAGTGCAGCCTAGGTGGAGTAGTCGAACACAGATCCACTGATCCTTCAACACAGAGCATCTTCAGAAGACAAGCTGATAAAATAAAATGTAAAAATCTGTATTTATCAATAGTGTGTATTGAACATAGAGCACTGTATTGGACGATTCAATACAGAAACTTGTATTGTTGTACCCCTACTTGTCAATTTTCTTTGTAAAATCTTTCAAATAGATTAAAACTTTATTTGTTGTTATTTTACTTTCAAAGTTTGGAGTAAATTATTCTTCATCCGTTTGTACTTATCTGTCTGTACTTAGTTCGCCTAAAGGTCACCTAAAATAAAAAGGAATGTGTAAATAAAATTGGTATATCATAAAACAATAAAACACAAGAATGTGCACAGGTTTGTGGGCGTGGCTAAAAGCTTAGAGTTACGTAACGACAAAAAAACGTTCGCAGCGAAATGGTCCAAATGAGTCACAGACTTCCGGAAGCAGCGGAACGACTTGTTTCTCGCAGACAGCTGCATTTTTCTCAGCTGACCTGGTCTGAGTGACACCCGAGTCTTCACCGAGTGGCTCCGTGTTCCTGGCGTCGGTTAGATGGACGGCTGCGGTGGAACCGGGAGGACGAACCGAGGACTCGAGTCTTGAGGATGTGAAGAGGAACGATGTGCTCCACGGAAAGCAACACGGAGCTTCGGCCGACACGTAAGTTACATCTGCGGGCGATATGTTGGTGGTGTCACCGCGACGCTCCCGGAGGTGGAGGTTTGTGTTGACCCCGGTCGACCTTTTTATTATTTATTTATTTATATGCATCTTTTCCCGATCCAGCGCCAGACCCAGCTCTACTGCTGGAACTAAAGACCCGGCGTCCGCCCTCCCTACTGGACCGGGCGGGATGCGAGACCTGGAGCGTGGACTTCTCCCCTAACGGAGCCTGGTTCGCCTGGTCGATGGGACACGGGATCGTCTGGGTGGTCGCCTGGCCGCTGGACTCCGAGTAAGTGTGGTGCATTCACGTCCCCTCGGACATTCTGACGTTTCCGACCAAACAAGGAAAACAATAATAATAATGACAACGTTACTTTATACGTCTATTATTTAAAAAAATAATACCAATAAACCCATATATATATATAAAATTAGTCAAACAAAATGTAGCTAAATATTGTTTTGTTGTAACAGTTAAAGTATAAATCAAAGCCAAAATATAAAATTATGTTTGCTGTAGAATAAGTCAAGTGACTCATTTCAAACCAAAGCCAATTTTATTTACTAAGCAGCAACAGTTATTAGCCAAATAGCTGTTCAGAAAGTGGTAAAGGAAACTAGAGAAGTTCCTGGATAAACTTTAAAGGGGCCAGCCATACATTATATTTATTCTCATTTTAGGGACATTTTTTGGGAGATTCTGTCAACTACCACCAATAAAATTAGCTCAGTAGATCTAAAAATGTCTAAATATGACATTGTATTGCATTCACATGTTGATTCAAAGGTCTGCTGTGTGGGAGGTGAGGTTCCATCTGTGTCTGTTCATAGAATTTGAAATTTATCTAGAATTTTAAGCACCTTTTTTTTTTTTAACTAAAATTGTGTTTAATGGGTTATCAAAGTAGTTTTATGTTTTTGGGTGTTTTCATGATGTCACCAGCCTGGTAGTGAAGGCCGAGGTGACTGCCTCAGTGTTGATACGGAGCGGTGTAAGTGGGCGTTATTAGCTCCGTTCTTTAAAAAATGTAAAACAACAGAAGGAGAGAAATCACACTTTCTCAGCACGCCTCTCTCCATCACGACCCACACACCTCTGCCTACATTCAGTATTTTTGCACGCTTGACGCTGCTCCCCCCCCCCTTTTTTTTTTTTTTCCCTCCCCCCCCCCCCCACAGAGAGGGTCGGGATGGGCACACGGACCGAGCGGACAAAAGCTTCAGCTGCGGTCAGCAGGTGTGGGGGCTCGCCTTCGGACCCAGACCCCCCTCGGGAGCAGCGGCGGCGCGTTTCGCTAAAACGGCGCCGAAAGGGAAGGACAGCCTGCTTCTGGCCACGGGCTTGGAGAACGGGGTGATCAAGATCTGGAACGTGTTTACAGGTGAGAATCTCAGGTCTGCTGTGTGCAGAAATACTGCCGGGCTTTAACTGAACTCCTGTCTGCAGGGAACGCTGTGTTTGATCTCCACGGCCATGAGGGAGTCGTCAGAGACCTGGTTTTTCCTCAGAATGGGTCCCTCACGCTCATATCATCATCTCGGGACAAGACTTTGAGGATTTGGGACTTGGCCCACAAAGGTGCATACTCAGTCTATGAAAGAAAAGCTCTCAGCTCTGCTTAAAGGGAACTTATCGTGAAAAATCCACTTTATTTTAGCTGTTAAATACATTCTGTTGGTTACTTGGAGTCAATAATAATAATAATAATAATAATAATAATAATCTCTTTGGGTCATATTTTTTCAGCCTGTTCAGTTTTCTCTATTTTCTCTGATATTTTATTTTATGAACTATTGACTCTGGCCACAACATGTGAGGCTGGATGAACATGTCTGTTGCTGACATCTTTTAATTAAATTGTAAATAAAACGTTTCTGCAAGCTAGAAAACTTAACCCCCTCTCTCAAACCGGAGTGGACCGGTCTGGAAGCAGGAGGGGGCGGGGCTTGAAGCATCTTAAAGGAACAGTAACAAAACCAGCTGCTTTGAGGCACACACCAGAAAAGTGGTAAAAGAGGAGCTGGTAAAGTTAGAATAAGGAGGAATTCAGACCAAAACGTTTCAGTTTCACTTTATAAAGACCCCAACTTAATGATTTAAATATGAAAAGGAAGGAGTTAAAAGCATATGTCAACTTTAAAGGAGACAGCATGCAAAATCCACTTTTCTTAGCTGTTAAATGCATTTTTTAAGGACTTGGAGTCTCTAGGAGGAATAAAAATCAAATTTAGTTTCTCCCGGTGCTACAAAGATAACGTTATATCCTGTTTAGGTCATATTTTTCAGTCTGTTCAGTTTTCTCTATTCTCCGTGACGTTTTCTGAACTATTACGTCACAGTTTTTGCGACGCAACTACCAGATAAGGTTTGGACTTACCAACTACAATTTGGTGGTCTTAATATTATGATATCTTTTTTTTTTTTTAGAAAAAGGAGATTAGCTTTACTTTCATTGAAATTTATGGAAAATGTGAACTTATTACTACTGCTCTAGTCAGTGGTCAATTGAGAATCTTTCTGTGGTAATTCTCTGTTAGCCTAACCCCTCCCGTTTAATCAATGAACACAGCTGCTGTGACGTTTGTGACTGAAAGAAATGAATCATTGACTCTCTGTGGTCTGACTCGCTTAAATCTCATTTTGGGTTTTCTTGTCTTGTATTTAGGGAAAAGGGTTCAGGTTCTGTCCGGTCACAAAGACTGGATCAGCTCCTGCTGCGTGTCGCCCGACTGCAGCATGATGGCGTCTGTCGGCAGGTTTGACAGAGTGAGTCTCTTCAGTGCAAACACTCAGATTGATGCTGAACGTTTCAACGTTTGAAGATCTTGATTCCATTTATGCACTGTTTTCTGCACGGCTTTTCAAAGGTCTTTAAAGGCTCCAAAATTAGAAAACATTTTCATCCAGGTCTGTTAAATTACTTGATCCAGTAGCTTTTGCCAACTTGTGCAATCAGGAAGCGTATTTGTAAGTTTTGTCAAATCATCGTTAAAACTAGAAGCACTCGGAGAGTGCAAACCTCCGCCAAGACAAATTTCCTCCATCCTGTAAGAGTTAATGCGCAAAAGCAGAGATGGAAACACATTTGCCGCTTAAGTTCTGATGTAGTGAACATTTAAGCAGGCAGTATGCACGGTATTTCTTCTTGGTGGAGTCCAATGTGAAAAAAAAAAGTCAGACTCGTCACCCGACGTTATTCATCATCAAACTGGTGTCAGATTAAGCTCCTAAATTTTCATCAGTCACATTTCACCATGTAAACGTCTGTTTTATCCCCTTGTATGAGTTTGTAATGGTTTGTCTCTCTTTATAAAGTGCTTCCTGCACCCCCGTCTCCAAACTTTGAGGCCCGGCAGATCTCGGTTTACAAGCCTAGTAGCGATTGTTTGGGAAATGTGGTGTGTTTGAGGAAATGGGAAAAATAGGTTTCATGGTGCAGTCACACACTTCCTGGTCACAAAACATTCTGTAAAATGTGCATATTATGGCAAAAATTATTCATCATTAAATGTGGTTTTAACATTACTTTTATAAAGTTTGAAGTCCGTGCTGTCCAATCCAGCTCACTGTTTTTTACAGAAGCCCTGTGAAAGCATCACAGCTTTGCCAATCTCAGAGTGTTAAAAGAAAAGAAAAATCCTGTATCCGTGTCGTGATCCGGAACATCACCAAAATTTAAAGTTGTGTTCCTTGGCCCCACATGCGTTAAAAATGTCATGACAATCCATCCACAAGTTTTTGAATAATGTTGTCCACAGACAGAACGACATACAGACATATGTGACCAAAAACATTACCTCGCCCTTGGCAGAGGTAAAAAAAAAAAAAAAACTAAAACATTTATTGAAGTGAGTTTAAGACATGACTGCGTAGATTTCCTGTGAATGCCTTTAACCCAGTTTGTTACTCTTGAACTTTATGATAATCATCTGCTGCTGTTATATCACAGGTCAGAGTGTTTAGTCTTTTAATGCCGAGCAACAGGGAAGTGTCAATTTGACACATGAAGCAACTTTAAAAATCACCTCTTTTAACAGTTTGCATGTTTCAGCTTGTCCTGAATCACGTTACTGAATTCTCTAGCGCTGCAGCAGATAAAACCCCAACTAAAACAATCGCAAACGTCTCCTAATAAAAAGAGCTCAATCTTATCAGCTCCTCGATGTCCTCGCTTTGACCAGATGGTGTGCCTGTGGAGTCTGCGCTCGTACACGTTCATCAGGAACCTGACGGGAGCGAACCAGAAAACTTTATGCCTGCTGTCCTCCTGCGACTTCTCTCCGGACGGGGCGGTCCTGGCCACCGCAGCCTTCAGTGGCTCCAGTTGGTGGATCGACCTCTGGGACCCGTACACAGCCGAGAAACTGGCCACGCTGGCGTAAGTTTGTAATGCCTCTCATCCTGTTTTGAACCGATTCCAGTGTACCTACTGTACGCCTGCTGCAGGGAAAATACTGTTTATTTGCTACTTTTCCCCGCAGTGACTACTTTGAAGATTACGGGCAAAACCAGATATCAGCAATACAGTTCTCCCCCGATGGTCTGCACCTCGCTATCGTGACTGACGACAGGTGATGGTTTTTTCTTTTTATGAACAAGTTACATAATAAACATTAGTCACGCCGGACAAATGGTTTCAGACAGATGTGCTGTATCTGCAGGGCTCTGAGGATCTGGAAGCCGGGAGAGAGGCGAATGACGATGCAGACCAACAAGGACCAGGTCTCTAACGGTCTCTGCTGCAAATACCACCCACAGGGAGGAGTGATCGCTACGGGGTAAATCAGTCCTGCAGTTTAAATTAGAACAGTAAACTCTTAGTGCAGGCGGGTTTGGAAGCCTTTCAGCACAAATACTATGGTGTGGCATGAGGGCCAAAATTATGACTATTGTGCAACCAGCAGTAGCTACATCCTTGTAGCAGGAGGCGATATCTATTCCTAAACCAGCTATTGATCTGATTAATGATAGGCCGGGCCCGCTAACTGAGCTTATACAATGTTATACACAGATATTTTTCATATTTCAATATTTCATAATTGCCTTTGATACCTATCGTTGCTAGCCTCTCCAATGCTAACAGCTTATTCATGCTAGTTTCTAGCCTCTCCAGTGCTAACACCAGCTTATCAATGCTAGTTGCTAGCTTTTCCAATGCTAACACTAGCTTATCCATGCTAGTTTCTAGCCTCTCCAATGCTAACTCTAGCTTATCTATGCTAGTTTCTAGCCTCTCCAATGCTAACTCTAGCTTATCTATGCTAGTTTCTAGCCTCTCCAATGCTAACACCTGCTTATCCATGCTAGTTTCTAGCCTCTCCAATGCTAACACCAGCTTATCCATGCTAGTCGCTAGCTTTTCCAATGCTAACACTAGCTTATCTATGCTAGTCGCTAGCCCCTCCAATGCTAACACCAGCTTATCCATGCTAGTCGCTAGCCTCTCCAATGCTAACAC